TTATTATTGTTGAAATAATCGGTCCAGCGCTTTTATGGATAAAAAAGAGGGAGGCACAGTCATGGTTGCAATGGCATTTTGGCAAAACAGTGGAAGCAGAAACGGAGCCTTTACTTGGCGTGCAACTAAAACTGGAATTTTAGGGCGCAGAAGTATGAGTAGACGTCAGTTGTACTTTAGCTCTTTTAAAGGCCAACGTGGAATCGTAGATAAGCCTGTTGAGAGCTCATTTGCGGGGAAAACGGGGTTCTTCTCTACGAGTTTGATATGTTCCTTGAAAATTTCCATTTGGGCAGTGAAATACATAGGAACAACTTGTGACAGCGGCAGCTTGTAAATTCGTGGTTAAATCATGGCAGCTACCCAACATAATTCTTAAATAAGACTTTTTCTACAATTTTAGAAATGCAAAAGAAAAATCGACTTTCATCTTTTAAAATGGCACCCTTTCTTTTTTCAAGTATTTTACTAGCTGCTACCCTGTAATCATGTATTTCTTCTGTCCCATTATTTTATTAATGTTCAAATATCAATGAAGTTTCAAATAATTTAAAAATGTCATTTTGACCATTCTGATCAGAAATCAATTTTAATTTTCTCAATTTAAACCATTTTTGAAACATGGTACCTAGTTCTATGAGGGTAGCTTACCCCAGCCCCTGAAAACAAAGAATACCCCCATATCTCCTTATTAGTAATACGTACGGTTCTGAAAATGCCGTAAATGGACTCAGCACCATCGAAAACCTATGGGTAGACATAACATGTGATAGTGTATCTGATAAGCTTCAAATTTCCATTCAGACAATCACTGCCAAAATTACTTGGAACACCTAACACTTTGGGCTGTGCTTTTCTATTTTTCATTTGTTTTCTTGAATACTACCACTTCCGCCCCCCTTTCCCCCAAAACAATGTTGAAAGTATAGAAAAATATCAAACAATCCACAAGAAAAAGCGTACTCCATAACCCCTCTCTTTTTTCTAAAGTAAATCAACATTGTTCCTAGGGGGAGAGGGGGATGGCTGAATTTGCCTTTGAAAACCTACGTTAGTGTTCCAAGACTTTTGGCAGTGATTGAGATATACATAGATATATGTGTGAATAAGTTACATGCTTTCCAGCACTAAACTTTTACATTCAAAATAATATTCAAGAACAAATGAGCTAGAAAATCCCAAGGAACTTCCACTTAACTTAATGAAAGAAAAAGCCCTCAATGTCCTACTCTACTATGTAAAGATTAGAACATTCCTGAATTAGCAAAAGAAATGGTAATCGGTGGACGCTGATAAAAATACTCTACTTTGGTTTGAGGTTAAATTGTCAAAAAATGTTACCTGTCGCACGAAAATATTGCAATATTTTATCGCATATCAGTTCCTGTTGAAAAGAACAAAAAGTTGCAACAAAATAACCACAACTATGACAAAGAACATATACATTATTGATATGAATGATTTTGTACAAAAAACGTTTTTTATAATTCAGCCTATATTATATGGTTTCTAAATTTGATTTGGCCTACTTCAACCAATTCATGACTATAGGTAGGTCAACAAAAACACTGCCGAAAACTGGAGGGTGAGTTTTCCGCAATGTCCTTATTCCCCTCTTCCCAGGAATCGTATTCCTGCTGGAGTCAAGGCCAAACCTCTAAAATAAGCAAAGTACGCTACAACTGAATGTGTTTTAACAATCGCTTCGCAAGATCACTTTCAAAATAGATGATATAGAATGATCCTACGTAGGGAAAGAGGTGTGCATAAAAAATGTGGTTGTCTGTTCTATGTATACAGAAAGCCTTTCTCTTTTTGTCCTGATTGGTTAGTCAAAAAAGATGTCACAAGATAGTAGTAGGAATAACAATGAACAAGGGTAAATAAGACACGCTTTGCTCCCACAGATGCTTTGCTCCCGATGATGCTAACAGTCTATGGTTGCTCAACCCTAGCTGATATTGGATTGCTTCGTTAAAAGTCTTTGAGTCACAGTTTCATATTAGTGCCACTACTGACTCATGGTAAAGAAATCAACGCAGATTTTACGTTCATTGTCAGATAAGATAACCTTTTAAAGGCTGATGTTACATTTAAAGCAATAGACAGCTGGTTTAGCCGATGAGTCATGACTTGCTACCTTTCATTTACTGCCAACGGCGAATTACTTCGAATTATTTTGAAAGGACAATCCATAAAAACATTCACCTGTACTGAGGATTCTGTTTTTCTGGTTCCATCGATTATCCAAGGCGTCTGGCTTAATTCCCTTGAATATTTATTGTACCTTCCTGTTGAAAGCCAAACAAGAGACGAAGATTTATTGATGAACATAAGCAACATAAAAAACTTGAAATTCTTTATTCTTTTCAGTAAAACTTTTCTATCATGTCGATGAACTATTAAGCAGGAGCACAAATCACCCGGCATTGATAACGGACTGCTTGCAGCAGATTCTATTTGTAGAAAGCAAACAGACATGATAATTGCTGCAGTACTCCGGAAAGAGAGAGGAATATCATTTGATGAATCAAGAGAAAAATGCCGAAATATATCACAAAGAGACATATGGGCATGAAATACAGTTTGTTGTGAAAATGCTACTCTCCGAGAGTAAATGGAGCTTTGGAAACGACATATATGATACATACAAAAATTTGCTCAAATCTGCTTAGACTACAAAACAATTTTGGAATACTGAGCTGAAAAAACTTTATTTAAAACATTCTTTGTGCCCCATTGTTCTATTCTTTATAAACATTGCTATTTCTGTTTTCAGCATGCTTGCAGAATCAGTACACGTTTGATAGCGTTATTCTGTATTAAATATAGGCTTATAGCCAACTAACAAGGTATGAAGCAAGATTCTTCTGACCTGCAACGTAAATGGCTTCTTGAAAACAAAGAATATCTTTCAAGCTGCAAGATTCGGTTGGTAATTGCGGAGGACAGTCTGCATACCTAATTAATGGGACAGCATAAAATGATTGAAGTTGAAATAGAGAACAGTATAAGAATACGACGCATGTTATGTTATCAAATTCTATACTTGAATCGAAATTTTTTTAGCCTGCTCTAAGCTTTCGGACTATTTTTTATTTCCTAGGAAGCAATGGTTGTTTGATTCGTTTACTTATATACTTTGAATGCTACAAGCCCAATTGTTTGTCTCTTTAATCTATAAAAGGTCCAATAAAAACTTGATTTGACCATAATAGGTACCTTCAAAACCCTATTTCACTCGCATCTAGAACAAAATCCCTTCGTGTTTTTCAACTTGTTGGACAAATGCTATGGCAAAACATGATTGATACTTACTTTGAAAGAGTCTCCACGGATTTCATCTCATCTAGAGTGGTTTGAATACTAGAAATACTTTGTGAAGGTTTTCCGCCATACTGTTACAAAAATGGAGATCTCAGTGAGTTTTGGAAGGGGAGTCATTAAGCTAACAGGCAACAATTTTAGGATACATCCTCCATTATTTTGTATTTATTCCTTCATAATCAATGGTGAGGCATACTAACATAAAACTGAAAAATTAACAAAAGTAAATAAAAAGGGTGAAAAGTCAATTATCGACCTTTAAGCATGCTTAGACCACAAGCATGATCACACAACTTACCTAATTCTAAACTAGAAAAGACAAACATATAGACAAAATTGATAAAAAATGTGAAGGATAAAATAATGTATAATCAGAAATAAACTGCTTCACAAAAACCAACATCCTTTTTGGAAACAATTAAAAATGGCAGAAAACTATTTGAAATATGTTTTCCATTACCTTCCTTTTTCTGGAATTTGATCCTTTACTACATTGCATTCTACAAAAAGATTACTGTATGATAAGAAAATCAGTTAGAATTAACACTTCGTTCTAATTCTCTTTGGGTATGATGAACAGCATACCTGATCTGATCAAATTAACATGTTGAGCACAAAGCTAGTTTAAACATGTTTTTTATTCAGTAGTTAAAGTTTCTTGATAGAAAATTACTATCTTATATTTATTTTAAGCTCTTTGTTAGTTTCAAGAGCTTGCCCTCTTGACCCCTCAGAAACAATCTATTTCTAAGCAAATATTTTTCAGTCAATTTTGTTATTAGATTCCTTTTCACTGACGACCCTGCTTTATGTTAAAATAACACTAAATAATGCAAATTGAGACAGTTCTTAAAATACAAAGTGCATATCTTGGAAAATCAGATGCCAAAAAGCTGAAAGAAGCTGTGAAATAAAAGTGACCTTGGTTGCTCTGAAATATCAGCAGTTGGTTACAACTTTGCTTGAAGAACCCATGACAACATTGCGCCGAATATTCTCAATAAACACTGTCTAGCTTAATGTAAGAGCTTGTTATCAAAATCAATTTTTAATAATTCATTAAAGATATTTGCTCTCATCATCACACTTTCTGTAAAGTAGGAGCCAATCAGAAGTCTACACTTATAAAATTCATTAACAAAAGGCTGTCCTTGTCTTATGAAGCTTGCCCCTTAACATTGGCACAGCTTATCTATTATCTTTCTCGCTCAGGGCAAGTTTAACAACAAATGGTTTATTCAAGCAACTAAAGATTTTTTTTCTCTTGACGTGCATCATAATGCACTGACAATTCAATTAAATATGTCACCGCTGCATTATCTCCATATTTGCACTCTCAAAGAATTTATCTACATGGGCAATCCTCTCAGAAAAAGAACAGTCTTGTTCATCATATGAACACAGCCTGAGAAATGAATTACTAGATATATTAATCAATGCATCTTCTTACAAGGCCGAGACTTCCTTGCGATCGCTGATATAATCAGCAACAACAGTGACCCTCAAGTCGCTCTGTAATAAAATAGTATTTTTATAGTATCTATGTATCTAAAAATTGCTTTGCAAAAAAGAATTCTAGATATACTAAAGTCTTTTGACTGACACTCTAAGGAGTAGAAGATCAAAAAACTCTAAGTTGGGAAATAGGAAATATATACACTCAGCACGTGAATTTTAAGGTTGCCCAATCAGTGTTGCCAGCCTATAGTAAATATCCCCAATGGAGCACTAGGGTCAAAATAAACTCCCTGTATCCACACATTAGTGGTAATTTATTTTCATGCATATCAAATCGAAAACAGCTAGACAGATGACACTTGTACATCGACTGATGTACACATAAATGAAGATACTGCTATTGCTAATCTATAGAGCCCAATACTGAAATTATACATCAATTTAAAATTAGCAGGAAATCAAAGAGGCAGGGTAAGGCATTCTTATTTACTCCAGTTTTGTAAAATGTGACCCTGCTTAATGATGGGGTGCTGAAATGTTGCAAAATGGGAACATTCCACAATATAAAAAGGGCATGGTCTCTGAATCAACCTGTTGAAATCACACTTCAATCAAACTGTTGAAAAGCACACTAAAAACTCATTTACAAGCTGAATGTTATAAATGTAACATGAAAACAAATTTTCAAAATACTAAAGCATTATCAAATTTCCTAAACAGACAAAGCAAAATTTTGAAAATAAAACCTTGACATCGCACTTTTTTCTTGTTTTTTCTTCTAATTTTTCAGTAAGTCCATATTTCAAAGCATCTTTCACTGAAACAACATCTTCCTGTTTCCATACTTCGTCTCTAAGAAGAGAAAGGATTCACAGCAACCATCAATAATGTATTCTATTGAGCTTTCAAAAACTTTTTTTGGTGACAGTCTGTCTTAGGAAAACCAAGTTGCTCATTCAGTTAGAAATTACCTATTTGAAATAAAATGGTCAACTATATGAACACAAAAGACTAGCAAAATGTTAACCTTGTTCCAGAATTAAGTACATTGACATTATCTTACTTTTTTGGTTCTTACCAAACTTCCAGAAAACATTAAATTTTACCACAATATATAAAAGAACACAGGAACTGTTACAAGACAAAGGGTAGAAGATCCAATTTCAGTCACAACAAATGAAAGGCATCATTCAGAAATTTTTCTTCATTCCCTTTTTAAAAATTCCCATCTTTTACTTGCCAGCAAGGGTTTTCAAACTAGTTGTAAATTAAGAAAGAATCTTAGGCAGCCTTTCCACTAGCCTGGGTTAAAACATATCCGGGTTAAAAGTTCGACATCCAGGATTTTGTTTTTTTATTTTTGGCGCCATCTCAATTTTTGAATGTTGCTGTTGTTGCAAGTGGGTCAGAAGTTATCAGGGTTTCAGCATTTCCATTAACTCGCAGGTGGGTCAAAAGATACCCGGTAGAAACTGACCCACTTTGAGACCCGTTTTCAAACTTATCTGTTTTTCAAGTGGGTTACTGGGAACGCGACGCAAAAACAGGTAACTTTTAACCTGGATATGTTTTAACCCAAGCTAGTGGAAAGGATGCCTTATAGAAGTCTATTGAAACTTGAAAATTTAGCATAGGTTTGGCTTCATTATTGATAAATAGCTACAATCTTTTTGGAAGAACATGTAAAATTTGAATTGACAGCCAATCACATACCTCAGTTTCTCTTTTGCGTATGTATACAATGAGTGCTAGCAAAACCAATGATAACAATTTAGTGTTTCAGATAAATAGAGAATTTTAAGAATAATAAGTGAAAAATTAAGGCTAAACAAAAGAAAACAAATGTACATAAAAATCAATTATAAGACTTATGTAGAAAAGAACAGCAAATGCACAGGAATTCCCTGTGTATGCCTATGAAGCCAATTTATTTGAGAAGTTTACATTCATCAGTTTTGTTGACTTTCTGCCCCTGTCAAAAAGCTTAACACCTCATCAGATAGGATCAAAGACATGACATCTATAAAATTCTTGAATGACTGTGATCTTTTCTTGACATGACTTTAATAGTCAAATTAATTAAATATTCAGTACCCTTGTTCTAAAGAAATGTTGAACAAATTTGATATAGGCATAATAAAGAATTTCAGGCTGTTATGAGATGGAAACAAAGGCTGTTTGACATAATGTATAGGAAAATTCTTGGAAACATTTTATGGGTCGCACACCACCACACACCTAGTAATGGTTAGTATCCCAACTAGACTTTTCCTCGCATATTTGTCACATAGCTTAAATCACATACCTGTCTTATAGCTATTGAATTGGGAATCATAGCATTCAATGAAAATGTGTCACTGTCATAGTCATCTTCCAACATTTTCTTTGCTATCTAAAATTGACAAAAAATGTGATACTTTTTCAGAGACACTTCACTTTTCCACTTTTACCAAAAAAATTCTTTGAAGTTTATTTTCAATTCAGGAAACTTTGGAAAATATATTGTTG